CCAGAGTTTCCAGCCAGTGAACGCAAAGAAGAAGAAAAAGGAAAAGCATAATTCTAGGAATTTTCTAGATTTTGTCTTCAAAGATTGGGTAACAGTCCATGACTCACATTCAGAACTGCCACAGGAAAGATGCAAGATCTTACAAAGTTTTCCTCAACTTGCAATGAACATTATCATTATGAAGCAGATCCTTTGGAAAACATCGCTCTTATCACGGTGTGCCTGAAAGAAACTCAGTCTCTCGCCAGCTCTCCCGCCTTGAAGACCAGAACAATGTAAATGACTCAGCTGGCTTGGCATGAGATTGACTAATCCAGTGTTTCCTATCTGGGTGTCCACAGGCACCCAGGGGTCCGCGGAACACATATAAGGGGTCAGTGATAGATCATTTACAAAATAAAAACTCTACAATTTAAAATGCAGTGTTCTTTTGTGATTATGATGTTTATCAATTATATTAACGGCTTCAGTATGAGTATGAAAAAGTACAGGGTCCATTGCAGACCTAGGAAAATCACATAATCCCAGATCCAAACTTAACAGAAAATTGGTCAATCCACAGTTAATCGTTCCTATGCCAACAAAAATCACATAATCACAGATCCAAACTTCACAGAAAACTGGATAACCCACAGTTGACAGTTCCTATGCCAAAAAAAAGCAAACAGAATGTCAATCACCATCCCCACGCGAAAAACATTGACACAGACTACAGTTTCAGCAAAACCAATAGCATACACAACATTCAATGCCTAAGGCAGTAGTCAGAAGTGCCAATAAAACAATTCAACAATAAAAATGCAGATCATTGTTGATGGAAGCAGCAGAGACAACAGATCATTGTTGATGGAAGCAGCAGAGACAACAGATCATTGTTGATGGAAGCAGCAGTGACAACAGATCATTGTTGATGGAAGCAGCAGTGACAACAGATCATTGTTGATGGAAGCAGCAGAGACAACAGATCATTGTTGATGGAAGCAGCAGAGACAACAGATCATTGTTGATGGAAGCAGCAGAGACAACAGATCATTGTTGATGGAAGCAGCAGAGACAACAGATCATTGTTGATGGAAGCAGCAGAGACAACAGATCATTGTTGATGGAAGCAGCAGTGGCAACAGATCATTGTTGATGGAAGCAGCAGAGACAACAGATCATTGTTGATGGAAGCAGCAGAGACAACAGATCATTGTTGATGGAAGCAGCAGTGACAACAGATCATTGTTGATGGAAGCAGCAGAGACAACAGATCATTGTTGATGGAAGCAGCAGAGACAACAGATCATTGTTGATGGAAGCAGCAGTGACAACAGATCATTGTTGATGGAAGCAGCAGTGACAACAGATCATTGTTGATGGAAGCAGCAGTGACAACAGATCATTAGTTTCATGCACAATGAATTGCAAAGGGCTCCACCTGTTCTCCAGAATTCTGCAAGAGACAGCTATGTGGGGAACCACTGATATGAACCCTGCTGTAACACTTTTAGCTACAAAATGTGCACAATCATGACCTACAAAAAGCACTGAAAGTATTTGTTGTTAGCCTATGTTTCTTTGAGAAAAAGAAGAGGGAGTGACGTGAAGATAAAGGAGCAGAAGAAGAAATCAATAGTTAGCATAAATTTTAAAAAAATATTGTGAATCCTTTACTACAGCAGTAGTTCTCAACCTTTCTAACATCGCGATCCTTTCATAATCCCTCATGTTGTGGCGACCCATTAACAGTCCCTCAGTCCTTCGTGTTGTGGCGATCCGTTCAGAGTCCCCCATGTTGTGGTGATCCTTTAATAGTCCGTCATGTTGTGGCGATCCTTTCATAGTCCCTCATGTTGTGGCGATCCTTTCATAGTCCCTCATGTTGTGGCGATCCTTTCATAGTCCCTCATGTTTGTGGCGATCCTTTCATAGTCCCTCATGTTGTGGCGATCCTTTCATAGTCCCTCATGTTGTGGCGATCCTTTCATAGTCCCTCATGTTGTGGCGATCCTTTCATAGTCCCTCATGTTGTGGCGATCCTTTCATAGTCCCTCATGTTGTGGCGATCCTTTCATAGTCCCTCATGTTGTGGCAATCCTTTCATAGTCCCTCATGTTGTGGCGACCCATTAACACAGTCCCTCATGTTGTGGCAACCCATTAACATAGTCCCTCATGTTGTGACGACCCATTAACACCATCCCTCAGTCCCTCATGTTGTGGCGACCCATTAACACCATCCCTCAGTCCCTCATGTTGTGGCGACCCATTAACACAGTCCCTCAGTCCCTCATGTTGTGACGACCCATTAACACCATCCCTCAGTCCCTCATGTTGTGGCGACCCATTAACACAGTCCCTCAGTCCCTCATGTTGTGACGACCCATTAACACCATCCCTCAGTCCCTCATGTTGTGGCGACCCATTAACACTGTCTCTCAGTCCCTCATGTTGTGACGACCCATTAACACTGTCCCTCAGTCTCTCATGTTGTGACGACCCATTAACACTGTCCCTCATGTTGTGGCGACCCATTAACACTGTCCCTCAGTCCCTCATGTTGTGACGACCCATTACCACAGTCCCTCAGTCCCTCATGTTGTGGCGACCCATTAACACTGTCCCTCAGTCCCTCATGTTGTGACGACCCATTAACACAGTCCCTCATGTTGTGGCGACCCATTAACACAGTCCCTCATGTTGTGGCGACCCATTAACACAGTCCCACATGTTGTGGTGACCCATTAACACAGTCCCACATGTTGTGGCGACCCATTAACACAGTCCCACAGTCCCTCATGTTGTGGTGACCCATTAACACAGTCCCTCAGTCCCTCATGTTGTGGTGACCCTTAACACAGTCCCTCATGTTGTTGTGACCCATTAACACAGTCCCTCATGTTGTGGCAACCCATTAACACAGTCCCTCATGTTGTGGCGACCCATTAACACAGTCCCTCATGTTGTGGCAACCCATTAACACAGTCCCTCATGTTGTGGTGACCCATTAACACAGTCCCTCATGTTGTGGCGACCCATTAACACAGTCCCTCAGTCCCTCATCTTGTGGCGACCCATTAACACAGTCCCTCATGTTGTGGTGACCCATTACCACAGTCCCTCATCTTGTGGCGACCCATTAACACAGTCCCTCATCTTGTGGCGACCCATTACCACAGTCCCACAGTCCCTCATCTTGTGGCGACCCATTAACACAGTCCCTCAGTCCCTCATCTTGTGGCGACCCATTACCACAGTCCCTCATCTTGTGGCGACCCATTAACACAGTCTCTCATCTTGTGGTGACCCATTAACACAGTCCCTCATCTTGTGGCGACCCATTAACACAGTCCCTCATCTTGTGGCGACCCATTAACACAGTCCCTCATCTTGTGGTGACCCATTAACACAGTCCCTCATCTTGTGGTGACCTATTAACACAGTCCCTCATCTTGTGGCGACCCATTACCACAGTCCCTCAGTCCCACATCTTGTGGCGACCCATTAACACAGTCCCTCATGTTGTGGTGACCCATTAACACAGTCCCTCATGTTGTGGTAACCCATTAACACAGTCCCTCATGTTGTGGCGACCTATTAACACAGTCCTTCATTTTGTGGCGACCCATTAACACAGTCCCTCATGTTGTGGTGACCCATTAACACAGTCCCTCATGTTGTGGTAACCCATTAACACAGTCCCTCATGTTGTGGTGACCTATTAACACAGTCCTTAATTTTGTGGCGACCCATTAACACAGTCCCTCATGTTGTGGTGACCCATTAACACAGTCCCTCATGTTGTGGCGACCCATTAACACAGTCCCACAGTCCCTCATGTTGTGGTGACCCATTAACACAGTCCCTCAGTCCCTCATGTTGTGGTGACCCTTAACACAGTCCCTCATGTTGTTGTGACCCATTAACACAGTCCCTCATGTTGTGGCGACCCATTAACACAGTCCCTCATGTTGTGGCGACCCATTAACACAGTCCCTCATGTTGTGGTGACCCATTAACACAGTCCCTCATGTTGTGGCGACCTATTAACACAGTCCATTTTGTGGCGACCCATTAACACAGTCCCTCAGTCCCTCATGTTGTGGCGACCCGTTAACACAGTCCCTCATGTTGTGGTGACCCATTAACACAGTCCCTAATGTTGTGGCGACCCATTTACACAGTCCCTCATGTTGTGGCGACCCCCACACACATATTTATTTTCGTGACTACTTCAGCACTTCAATGAATATGTGTTTCCCCTGTGACCAACAAAAGGGTCATGACCCGCAGTTTGAGAACCACTGCTTTAAAGGATGTTGCAGAACTAACCCCAATAATTTTTTAGCTGTTTGTGATTGTACTAGGCACTTTTCAGTAGTTTGCCACTGCTTTCTGAATGATCAGCTTTAGACAGCTTTGTAAATTTTTGGCTCTATACACCATTCAAGACAGTCTGCTGCCAAATAGACTGCAGCCTGGATCGAACCCGGTATCTCAGCATTTTAAAGCAGCTTTGTAACATCTAAGCCACAGCAGTCAACTGATGTATCAGAGCAGACAGTGAAATAAAAAAAATAACTTTCCTGTCAATGGTCTGGCTAGACCCATATTTGTAAAGATCAATAAATAAGCATTCCACAAACTAAAGTTAAAAGGTCAAAGTCAAGATGATTGACTCAATTATACCAGGTAGTATCCCATATGGCTGGATCTGTTTCCACAGAATGGCTAGCCGCCTGTAGAGAGCAAAGCACGAATAGCATCGTTCCACTGATGATCTCCAGGGCCAGCCTTCAAAACTGCACTCATAAACCTAATAATGCAACCGTGAAACAAACCAAGACCACTTTGCCACGAGGTGACAATGAGTGATGCGATCAACGTAGAGCCAGCCACCTTAATTTCCTAGAACATTTCCTTGTACCCATTTTAGGTTAGGTCAGCCTGGGGGCTAGAAGATAGCAGAAGAACAGAAACAAAAATTTTTTTTTTAAATCTAATTTACAAGAAACTTACTTCAGTTTGCTAGCATAATCCATTTCCACGGCACTTCTCTCCTTGATAAAGTGTACGTATCGCTCACAGAAGTCAATGCCTTTCTGGGTGTGGACATTCACATTGTCCCACTGATCCTGCAATAACACATATGGAAGACGACACTGAATCAACAGATGAGGTCATGATGAGAGCTTTGGATAAGACACACACTTGCATATTTTCTAAAATGCTAGTTCTGTATCTTTTACGCTGCAACCAACCCCAGAATCTGTTGGTTCTTTGTGCTTTTACAAGGAGATTTTAAGTTCAGCAGTTTGCCTTTACTTTCTGAATGGTTGCTGCTTCAATGTCAAATACAAAGCAAAGCAATCTGCTACCAAATCGCCTGCATCTAAAATCAAATCAGGCATCTAGGAATTACAAATCATGTTTGTAACGCCTAAACCACAGATGCTGACAGAAGAATATTACACAACACGAAAATGAAAGCTATGCATATCAGAACTCGAACCTGCGAATAACTTACTTCGACTCACCATCAAACTGACAACCTATGAGGGCCAATCAATGCATGTGTTCATCATACAAGGGGAGCTTTAGATGAAAACCTTAAAAGTGTGACAGAAATGACAATAACCATGCCGCTCTTGAAACTATCAAAATTTTTGTTAAGGACCTAAAGAGTGTCAAGCACATGACATCACGGAGCAGATGAGTACAGTGACATCATAACAACCATTAAAAAATGGCCACCCCACTTTTGACATACAGCAAAAAAAAAAAAAAAAGAGCAGCTTTTGGTTCTTTTTCACTAGGTCTTCAAGCAACAACAACAAATTTACCACCCACAAAACTGCATCCTGCCGATTGCACCAATATACAGAAAAATGCACAACAAATTCACATCACAAAAAGCAAACTCTGCACAGTAGGAATGGGGGTGGGGGGGGGGGGGGGGGGGTGGGGGGGGGGGGGGTGGGGTTGATACTGATAAAGTACCCTACATTTTGCTATCAGTGAAAGGGTGAAACCTATAGAAATTCATTAGCAAATAAAGGTCCAGTATGCATGTCTGTCCAGCAAGTGTATGAGTGCAGTAACAAGTTTCAATATGTCGTGACTTCTGTGAAAGAATGTTCTCAATAAGGCCAGCCAAATGGAGACAGAAATCAGTGTTTTGATAAATACCTTCTTTTTATTCGCTTTTACCAGCTATATACTCCGAAAGAAAGTTCAGGCCGTTCATCCACTTCTTTAGTTTTGTTCCACAGCATGAGTTTTGCATGGACCTCTGTTTATAGATCTGACATTTGAATGCAGACTGTTGGTTCCTTCTCTCTCGATCATTTGACTGATTCCACATCATCTTTTCCTCTTCCTTTATTTTATAGTTTTTCACATGACATGCATGTGTGGGAACTGGTGGCCAGGATACCCTGCCCTCGCTTATATTATATGTTGGTGGTTTTTTTTTCTTTTTTTTTTTCCATAAAGGCTCCAGTTGAAATGTTTTATTTTTCTTGTGTATATGTGTTATTTCCTTTTACTGCTGCCTTGAGCTTCTTAGTCACAGTTCAGTGGATGTCTTGAAGACAATGTTATGACAGAAAAGATTTGACACTGAGTTGGTCTAAGAGGGAAGCTTTGACAAGATGGGGTGAAAAATCTGAATGGTATCAAACAATGTTATGACCGGAAAGACCAGGCACTTAGCACAGCTAAGAGGGAAGTTGGGGGTCTCCGTGGGGAAGTGGTCAAGCAATTTGCCTCGCACTCTGAGGGTCATGGGTTCATTTTACAGCAGCACCGTTCAATTCATGAGTGCAATTTTTACGGAGATTCCTGGGGATCATTGCCAGAGCTGCGGAAGATGTGCTCAGTGCAATACTCTCGGCAGGCAGCTAGTTGTTTGCACAGAGAGATTGAGCCATTTGGCATAAAATCCAGTGCAATGAAGTCGATCCTTTCACCTTTACCTTTAAAAGGAAAGCTCTTGATGGACCCGGGCAATTCCCTACTAAATCTAGCACCTGACAGGATGGGGTGAAAAAGACGAATAGTACCAATCAATGTTATGACCAAATTACAACTCTGAGAATTCCCTAAATGCTCTGTCTACACCTTCAGCAACCAGCGCAGACATTCAATACTAATTATTACTAATAGATTGCAATCGGTACTGTTGGTATGCCTTTTCTTCTCATTATCAGAGGTATAAATCCACTCACATTGGACACTCTAACTAGTTTATACACTAGTTATATGTATAGTTTTTTTTTTTTAAGTTGCTATTTCTCTGTGATTGTCCTCCTCCATCCAACACTGTACACACACATCATTTTTTTTTTTAGGTTTCTCTTTCTTCCTCTCTCCTTGTAAGTTAAGCCCAGATCAGGTTACTTGCTACAAAACACTGATGGGATGTTACATAGCTATTGTTATGAGATTGGACATGTTATCTGTGTCCCGGCCTGTTATATAACATATTCACATACCACACGAACAGTGACTTATAATACTTATATTAAGTTAAAGGCTGTCATTCTTAAGATCGCAATCCTGGAATGGAAAAGAAATAGCGGATCTGATGTGGAATTGACTAGACTTGTTGGCCCGACTTGTCACTTCTTGACGTGCCGTTATCTCCTTCTGCCCTGTATTTGTATTATTGACACTATTATTTATATATCTATATCATTAACATTAACCGCCCCCCCCCCCCCCCCCACCCAATGGAGCACAGGTCCTCAAACTTCCAACAATCAACAACCAACTCACTCCAAAGTCATCCTGTCACTGCCGTTTGTTTACACTAGTTCAGTATAGTACTATAACTATAACTATAGCTTACAGCTCGCACCTTCTCTTTAATTTCACTTGTGTTTTGTGTGCATTATTCTACGACCCTGTGGGACCGTTCATTTTCCTTCTTTGAATAACTTTCATGCCATTATTTGAATAACTTACTTCAATAAAAACAAATGCAATCGTCGATCACATTCATTCAGACTTTCACTTACCCACAGTTCCACACCCCAGCTCATGGTTTTTTAAAAAAACCACGACAAAGAATAAATATATCACTAAGTTACCACCATGAGCTGAATATTTCTAGTAGATCAACGAGCGGGTATCCTGTAAGTCCCTAACATAAAAAATACAATGTTTCTAGATGCTTGCCGAACTGATGATACTCGGATACACGACGGGGATCTATCATGGCGGAGATATGAGTCACGCGAAATCTCGCGAGACACCAGCAGACGAGCCATGGAAGGAATTGAACTAGGGGCGAGCCATCTTCTTCTTCTTCTTCTTCTTCTTCTTCTTCTTCTTCTTCTTCTTCTTCCTCCTCCTCCTCCTTCACGTTCACCGGCTGAATGTTCTGGTTGTTTGTGCACTTCTAGATTTTGGTCTTGTTCCAGGACCTTAAAATTACATGCACATCCGTTTTACAGATCTGACTTATTTTTTGCAGTTTGTTGTTTCCTTGCCTCTTAGGCAAATGCACCCAGACTTTGAAGAAAGCCCCGAGTGGTCGACTCTTAAGACATGCTTGTTGTGGGTCTTTTCTTGTTTTTTCACACAATGGGACCCCGGAACCCACACAGGGAGAGTTAAGCCAAGAACCAGCATCACAGCATTCGGGGCATTCCTATAAGCGCCCATACCTATCTTCAGCAGCCAGCGTAGAGTCTAAATATTAGTTGTGAAACTAGCTATGTCCGTACTGCCTTTCCTTCTGAGCGTCGAATATCGGCCAGATCCCTTCGTCCCTCCTCGCTGCATCACTCTCACCAGACTAATAATCAATTTGCTTTTCTGAATTGTACACGTGTATATAAGCGAGAATGCAGAACTTGAAGGACCAGATGTTGGAAGGACACGAACATTAGCAGATGATGTTCTTGCATATAGGCAGGGGAGTGATAGGTAACAGACCTCTCAAGAGCTACAGGCAACTGTAGACAAAGAGAGACTGGTGTAAGGTCATCAACTCAGAAAAAGCTGCTGTTTTTTTGGTGCTATCTGGACAATGCATTTGTAAGAGCTAATGGCACAAGCCTAACCTTTAATGACAGAAACATCAAAAGAGAAAGCAAACTGATGTACCTGGGTATCATTTTCGATAAAAATCTGTCCTTAAGGAATCATGTGGTGGCAATGGACATGAAACAAAGTATGCTGTTCACAATGTTCCAGCATGAGATCCTGTCTGTAATAGATTATGGATTTGGAATGCTCACCATATCAGTGTCAGGTGTGACCTGCAGTATTAGACCGGGGGGGGGGGGGGGGGGGGGTGGTGGTGTAAGAAATGTAAGGGTAAGTAAATCTGTCGTTCTTTATGTAAATAATTTCAGTGGTTATGTTTCTTTGAATTTAATTTTCAAGTGGTGTGTATGCGATACATCCTTGGTTTGCGGACTGTTGCAGGTAGGCACAAGGTGCTGCAGGCGAAGTCATATCTTAGGGTAGCTGCAGACACAAACCATCCTTTTCGTGAAGCTCTGTGTGCAGTTAAGGGTCAACAGCTGATAAGAGGGAAGTCATGGATGGCTCAGGCAGAAAACACAATCAGACAGGTTTGCATCCTTGAGAACATTAGGCGAAGAGAGGAGTGGGTCAAAGTGCCACCTGAACAGTCAGACTTGTGTAGGGTCATAATCACACGGAGCTGGGAATGCAGAGACTGGCCAGCAGGTGCCACAGAGATGGAAATCCAGCAATTAATTCCAGAAAATGCTTGCTCAGAGGATTTGATCATTTACACAGAAGCTTCAGTGTCAAGAGGCAGAAGATGTGCTTGGGGCTTCTTAGCAAAAGTTAGTGGTCGACGTTTGGTACAGGAGAGCCTAGCATATGATACCATAACATCCAGCTTAAGAATGGAGGGAGAGGCGGTCACTGCAGCTTTCCCATGGCTAGACACACACACACACACACACACACACACACACAAACACACACAGAAAGCATTCTGAGGAAGATCAGGACAGGCATGCTTCAAGCAGAGTGGCATGCTTTGCTGCGGAGGACACTGGTGAGAAGTATTGTCATGATCTTTTCACCGGGACACCGGGGTGTGTTTAGAAATGAACACGCAGACAGACTGGCTGGTTCTGCACAACTTTTTTGAATACTGACACATGATAGGGCAGACGTGGTTAGGGTCTTGTAGGAGAGCGTGTACAGTTCGGAGTAGCAGATGGATCACCACAGTCTGGTGAGATTGATGCAGGGGGATTGACGAGAGGTTCTGGCAGATGCTCGAGGCTCAAAGGAAAGGCAAGACGGACGTTTAATCCGAATGCTACTGGCACCATTAGTATCGGAACTCTTTGCTGGCTGCTGAAGATGGGTACGGAACGCTTTTTGGAGTGCCCCGTGCGCTGTGACGTCGGTTTTTAAATCAAATCAAATCATTTTCAATCAGCGTGAAGAAAATTAAGTCTTGTCAAAGTGTTTGCAATCTTTGGATAGCGACCCGCTGTTTCTTGTTTTATTTCAAACATAGACGGGAAAGACAAGAAAAACGGTTCACGTAACATTTAGAATGCACTATGACAGCCGTATCATGAAACAGAAAAGGGCCTCATGACGTTATATTGCTAAGGGCACAAACTGGGGGCACTGAAAAAAAAAAGGTATATTCTGGTAAGTGGTACTTAATTTCTTCTTCTTCTTCTTCTTCTTCTTCTTCTTCTTCTTCTTCTTCTTCTTCTGCGTTCATCCTAAAATGTAATTGCGTCGTGTCCGTTTACAGCATGGCTGCGATATTTGCGCCTTTCGGCCAACACATCTGACTTTTGCGGGTATTTGTTGACCGAGCTAGCCTTCCCGGTAGAAGTAAATAATTTATTAAGCTTTACCTACCTGTCGTTGTCATTGCTTGGATGTCATGGTCCGTTGGGGGGAAAGGGGGGGGGGGGGTCCCACGTTATCCTTTCACAGAGGAGAAAGAATGAATGACTTTATATCTGTTCTCCAGGAAATAACGGTGTGTCGGGAAATGGCAAGCCAGACATTTTGACTACTTATGCATTTGTTGGTGGTGAACTGATGCAAGGCAAAATATATGGATGCCAAATGTGAAAAAGTCAGAAACTTACTTAGAAAACTGCAAGAAACATTGTTATTGCAACTTTACACTTGCTGCTGAAGACAGGGATTGGTAGGGTGGGGGAAGGTTGAATTACAAGATAGTTCAAAGACTGTAATACCTTGGAGTCCCAGTAGAGTGATACCTCGGATTCGCAAAAGAATGATACCTTGTTGTCCCAGGAGAGTGGATTCCCATGAGTGTGATACATCTGAGTCACAAGAAAATGATACCCCGGAATCCCAAAAAGTGTGATACCTTCAGGTGGCAACAGTTGTGGAAAAACTGCCAGTGAGTTGTGTGTGTCGCTGTCACGATTTAGATGCTGTCTATTTGTGAGGGAAAAGGTGAAACATCCGACATGTGTGTGCTTGCTGGTTTGATTGGATTTATTGTGTACTTACTGCTGCATTGTCTTCCACCCAGATGCAACGAAGCTGGGTGTGTGTATGTGTGTGTGTTTTTTTTGCAACGATTATGTCGATGATGATGAGGACGGTGATAACGACGAGGACGCTGATGATGATGATGATGATGATGATGATGATGGCGAAGATTTGTTGATATAAATCCTGATGATTATTATTTAAAAATAACGATTTGACTATAAAAAGTAATAATTGGATAATTATCATAATTTTGCCAAAAGCGCAGCGAAAACCAAAATCTGTTATTGAATTTAAAGAAAACGAAAATAATATTCACAGATAAACCTGGCCGTCACCAAAAATAACAATAAATAGTGAAGAAATTGAAAACGTCACAAAATTTGAATATCTCATTCATTAGCACCTTACCGTCTTTCCAGACGATAGTGTTATATTGCGGTATGAGGAGGCATGAGACTCACAGCCCATGGCGATGGCGAGTGTGACTAGCAAGACCCGCCCGTGTCAAGAAAAGTCTTCTACACTGATAGCATGGGATTTCAGGACCATTTTTGTCAACATTTGTGTTTAATCTGTTTCCTTTCAGACGCTCGGCTCTCATCCTTTCTGCAATCATTTCTTCCTTCAGTCTCATTCCCCTCCTGATATACCCTTTCCACACAAGACGGTCTATGGTATTTTGTTCCCATGAGTCCGCCTCAATACCTGTATCATTCATGTCCCGCTTACACACATCTTTATAACGTAGTGCCTCGACATCTTCTCCCTGTCTTTATTTAATTCACCATGTCCTTAGGGACTCTGCCATCTGCACCATCTGCTAGTTTAGTATCAACTGAGTAAAGCTCCATCTATCTAGCTGCTTCTTCTTGTCAATAATCATCTCCCCATTCAAATTCTTTAGTGGTGCACATTTTTTAGTAGTAAGACCGATGGCCTTCTTGATCCTCTCATACATGCCTCTAACATTACCATCACTGCTAGCATTTTGAATGCGGATGAAGTTCCTCCTCTCCATAGCACAAAGCCTTGGCAGTATTGTAGAGACCATATTGCCAATGCATAATATTTCCTCACTCTACCTGCCTTGTTTACTCTAAAGGAAAGGTAAAACCAGTACGTTTGGAACGAGGCAGGTTGCAGAAGCTGCCAGATCAGAAGGGCAATGCTCTATCTGTCCGCCTGTCAGAGCTTCCCTCCTAGACCAGCTGCCAGCCAAACACAAAGTTTTCAGGTTGCATTTCCTCTTCCTAGGATAAGGCTAGTATCCTCCCCAATGCGCTCCTCTGCCCGAAGCCGTTGGCCCAATTAGGGATTTTGGTTAGTATACACCGCCCAATTTGAATATCTAGGCTCAATAATAAATTGCATTGTTAGACAGAAATTAAAAGGAGGATAGCCAAAGCAATGCAAAGATTGAACAGCATTAAAAGTCTATGGTAAGCACCAACAAGGAGTTCATAATCAGAATTTTGAGAGCATTCATCTTCCCTGCGGCAACATACGGATGTGAGTCGTGGACTATCTCCCAGTTCTTAAGAAAGAGAATAGG